GGTATTATAAAATGCCCTTCTTCTTCTCACTTGATATCTTTTTAGAAAACTGAAATCCCTCCCTGCCTAATATTAAGTTCAGGACTGTTACTTTTTCATTTTTTGTTTGATTTTTCTGGTATTTTCAAAGTTTCTGAATTAAGTATTCAGGTTTGTATTTTGTCTACATCAAAAGGATAGTTTTACTCATAGTTCAACTTGAAAACCTATTAATATGTAAGTTAAGCCTTTTCCTTATATGGACTAGATATGTCAGATTTAATTCTGCCAAATTATTTTTTATGTCATTTTTTTCCTATTTTTATCATTGTTCAAAAAAGTACTTTAAGATAATCTATTTTTCTGGAATCCACTCAAGTCATGATTTTGTCTCACAAACTGCACTAAAACTAGCCTTTTGTTGTTACTAATAACACCCATGTTGCCAAAAGCATTAATGAAATTCTCAGCTTCATTTTGGCTGAAGCCATAGCAGCATGTGACAAGGCTAGCTACTCTGTATTTTTGAAACATTTGTTTTTAAATTAGCTTCTGACATAACACTCATCTCTGTCTTATCCTTCTTTACTGATTTCTGTGCCATATCTCACCTTCTTAATGTTGGGGAAAATGACCCCCGAACTCAGGCCCTGAGTTTCTTTTCTCTTGTATTTACTTTTACTACTGAAATGAATTCATCTGGTCTTAAAGTTTTCAATGCCTCCAATGTGTTGACAATCCTCATGTTCATACCTGAAGTCCACCAGTCTCCTGGTCTTCAGACTCATGGACTGAACACTCTATCCCATATCTCTACATGGGTACCTAATAGAATCTCAATCTTATCATGACTAACACCAAACTCTTGATTTCTCCAACCAATGTGCCCTGTCTCATACTTTCCTTGGTTAATAATAAATAGTCATTTCCCTGAGGAGGACATACAGAGGGCCCAGAGACACATGAAAAAATGCTCATCACCACTAGCTATTAGAGAGGTACAGATTAAAACCACAATGAGATACCACTTCACACCTGTGAGAATGGCCATCATAAATCAACAAACAACAAGTGCTGGCTAGGTGGTAGATAAAAGGGAACTCTAGTGCACTGTTGGTGGGAATGCAGACTGGTGCAGCCACTGTGGAAAACAGTATGGAATTTCCCCAGAAAACTAAGAATAGAACTGCCTTTCGATACAGCAATCCCACTGCTGGATTACATTCTACGAATCCTAAATCACCAATTCATTATAACCTATTCACCCCAATGTTCATAGCAGCACAATTTACAATAGCCAAGTGCTGGAAGCAACCCAAGTCCCCATCAGTAAATGAATGGATCAAAAAACTATGGTACATTTACATAATGGAATGCTATGCAGAAGAAAGAAGGAGCTCCTACCCTTCATGACAGTATAGATGGATCTAGAGAGCATTATGCTAAGTGAAATAACCCAGGAAGTGAAACACAAATACCATATGATCTCACCTATAAGTAGAACCTAATCAACAAAACAAAAAAATTAGAAAAATAGGACCAGAGACTTGGAAATAAAGAACCTGACAGTGTCTAGAGGGAGGATGAAGGGAAATGATGAAGGAAAGAAGGGGAAAGGGCAAACAAAGGAACATGAATAGAGTAGTCATGGGCACAGGCAATGGTGGTCTGTGGGAGTTGGGGGTGCCAGAGTAAGCAATGGGAAAAAAGCAGGACAACTGTAACTGGACAACAATAAAATAAAAATACACAGTGAATGTGACAGTAACCTCCTTAATGCTCCAGGAAATAGAACAACAACAACAACAACAACAACAACAAAAACAGAATAAAACAAAATTGAAACCATCCTTGACTTTTAATTTTATATCCAATCAAAGAGCATATCCTGTTGGCTCCAGTTCTGTGTATATCCAGGATTCTTTGACTTCCCACGACCTTTGCTAATGTGCTATTTTCAGCTACCATCTCTTGCCTAGACAACTACAATAGCGTCCTAACAGTCTCCTTGATTCCACCCTGTTTCTACTCTGCTTTCACTCTTGCCACTGTGTAGCTTATTCTTCACTCATCAGTCAGAGCTAAATTTAAAGTTTTAAAAAAATATTTATTAATTTTTTTTAGAGAGAAAAGAACAGAGGGAGAGAGAGAGGGAGAGAAACATTAATGCAAGAGAAACACATCAATTGGTTGACTCTCCTATACATGCCAACCAGATATGCAAGCATGTGCCTTGACCAAGTTGAACCATCCACCTTTTGCTTTGCAGGATAATACCAACCAACTGAGCCACACTGGTCAGAGCCAGAGCTAAGGGGATGGTGGAGAGAGATAATGGGGGAAAGAATGAGAAGGGTCAAATCAAAGAACATGTAGAAAGGACCCAAGGACAAGGACAATGGGATGGGGGATTAAATGTGGGGGGGTGGGCAGGGCATGGGATAGAAACAGGGGAAAAATGGTGTCAACTGTAATTGAACAATAAAAATTAATTTAAAAATACATGTCAGATTATTTTACTCCTCTTTCCCAAATCCTCCTGTCCTTTTAGAGAATAAAATTAAAAATGACCCACTCTGTGGTCTTATCTTTCATTCCCCTCCTTAACCCAACTCCACCACCTTCTTGGGGTTCTTCAAACAATCCTGCAGTGGAACCTGTGTCCTTATTGCCATGGTGCTGGCAATGCCTCTTACCCCCAATAACCAACCATACAGCTTTCTCATGTCTCTGCTTGAATGTCACCCCATCAGGAAACCCTTCCTGAACACCTTATTAAAAATAATGCCACTCTTAAACAATAAATATTTGTTGAATGACAGAATGAATTCCTAGGTAGATCTTGGGTTTAAGCAAGGTTTTTATCTCTTATCCCATGATACTTAAAAAAAAAGAATAAAAATGAAAGAAAAAATAAAGATAATCCCTTGGTGTTTGAGTTGAAATAAATTGCTTATTTGCTGGGTGGATCCTGTTTTGTGTAGCATGAATGTGCAGCCAGAAATGTGGGGTTTGTGAAACCCTCTGTGGTGGGTAGAGATGTAGTCCCATTGTTAATTCTGTAGAGTTCTGGCCACACACAGGCAAACAGAGCACATGCTCCATATGGCGACAAGATAAGATAGAGGTCACTCTCTGTCATCTTATTTTTTCTATTTGCATCCTTTGTTTCTTGCATGCTGTAAGCTGTGGTAAATATTTCTCACTATTTAGCATAATGCTTACAGCACTTTTGGAATAAAGCAGCGTGGGATTTTGATCCAAGGGAGGAGCTGTCTCTGAGTCAAAGTCTGGGACTTTTTGATGTAGTCTCCAATTGGAACATAGAAAACTTTATTTTGTACTTGGGAGCAATAATACCATATTTAATTCAAAACTGTAAATTCTATACTACTCTTGTGAGCTATGTTGTAAAATTATTTGTATAGCTTCAATTGTACCTTTCATAATTGTAAACAAAGACTATGCAATGCAAAGTATTTACTGTAGAAACATCTGTTTAAAAGTAAGGTGAAACATATTAGATTTTAAAATATCATTTAAATTGTAAAAATCTGTATGGAGGAACTCCATTTACATGGCAATGTTCCCAGTAGTGTGCTGTTTAAGTAGATGCTCAATACACTTGTTGATATAAATTTATTTAATAATCTGATCTCTATTTTCAAGTCCAACATCTTAACCACTTGGCCATCACTGCTACAATAATCTGATCTCTATTTTAAGGTAACATTAGCTTGATATTGTGAATTCAATGCCATTTAGTAACATATATCATACTTGATATTTCACCAAGTGACATATCTTCAGAGCTGATAAGTGATTACACAATGGGTGTCATTTATTCTGATGTTTCAAATTATTAATGTAAACTACTAGTAGATCTCACAGGAATATGCTTCTCTTATTCTGAATGTGGGAGGTTAAATTTATTTAAACCCTAAAGTTTAAAAGTATTTATATATATACACACACATATATACATATATACATACATATATGTATATATGTATGTATTGGTGATATATATATGTATATATATATATATCACCAATAACTACAAGTCCATGAGTAAAGCAAGGAGAATAGAGGAAATAAAACTGTCACCAAGATGGGTGTGTTGCATTTTGCAATCAAACATTATCATAATACAAATGTCTGAAGAGAAAAATACCATTCATTTTACCAAGTTTTATTTTTTGTTTTTTTAGTGTACTTTTCTCCATTACCATTTAGTCCCCTTATACCTCCCTCCCCCACTCCCAGCAATCAACACACCGTTGTCCATGTCTATGGATAATTTTTCTTTTTTGCTCAGTCCCTCCATTCTTTAACTTCCCCTTCCCCTTAGCTGTCATCCTGCTCTCCATCTATCAGTCTGTCTCTATTTGGCTTGTTAGTTTGGTTTGTTCATTAGATTCTACATATGAGTGAAATCATATGGTATTTGTCTTTCTCTCACTGACTTATTTTACTTAGCATAATGTTCTCCAGGTCTATCCATGCTGTCACAAAGGGTAAAACTTTCTTCTTTTTCACAGCTGAGTATTATTCCATTGTTTTATCTACTCATCTACTTACTGATGGACACTTGGGCTGCTTCTACATCTTGGTGATTGTAAATAATGCTGCAATGAACATAGGGGTGCTTATGTTCTTTCTAATTTGAGAGTGATTTGGGTTCTTTCAGATATATTCCCAGAAGTGAGCTGAATGGGTCAAAAGGTTGATCCATTTTTTTTTTGAGGTATCTCCATACTGATTTCCACAGTGGCTACACCAATATGAATTCCTATCCACTCTGTGGAAGAGTTCTCCTTTCTCCACACCCTCACCAGCGCTTGCTGTTTGTTGATTTATCAATGAAAGCCATTTTGACAGGTATGTGATGATCATTTTACAGTTTCCAAAATAGTGGTTTAACAAATTTCCTCCATTACTTTCTAAATTTGGCTGTTACCTCCCCCCATGGTTCCCCTTTCTCTTCATTTATATTTCTGTGAGCAAAAATTATGAAAGACTTTTAAATGGTTAAAATCATTTTAATGCACTATAAGCAATTAACACACTATAAAAACACACATACATAGTGATGCCTTGTCTCCAAATGAGCTTTTACTAATTGAAGACATTTTGTTTTTCAGATATTTCAGTGGAAAATAACATCAGGGAAATCGAATCCAATTTAAATGTCACTTTAATTCATTGGCAAGTCTTTACTCCATCTTAATTTAATTATTTCATAAACATCTGACAACAATTATTCTTCCAGACTGTATTCAAATCTTTCACTGACTTGTATCATCATATGTTGTAGCTCTATTATAATATTAAAATACTGTATTTTATATATATTGCATCCCTATAGCTTTTAAAATAGCCTGGAACACTTCAAAAGCTATAAAACTTCATATGCTATAAGTCAGAAAGTTAATATTTTTAATAGGGCAAGAACTGTAAGATTAGTGAATTGGCATTTTTTACAGTAGGAGTTGCTTAAATTTTCTGGATTAGAATGCAAGTTCATCATCAAAATAAAAAGAAAAATATGTCAAACATACCTATTAAAGTATGAAACACCAAGTTCAATAAAACAATGGTCTTGAGTTTGTTTGTAATAAATACTTTATATCTTATCTTAGATATCTCTGTTAGTTCTCAAACTTCTGATGCTGGCACCTGGTTGTCTTTAAAATATTTACCAAATATAAAATTCCAGACCCTATTTTATTATAAAATCAGCCCAGACACAGTATCAGATATTAAGATGCATACATTGTTACATTATGTATTTGTTTTAAAAATCTTTCCTAGATTGCATGTATTTAATTTGAGGCTATAAAACAGAATAACACAGTATTTACAAGCTCATTTTTTCACAAAAATTTTTTTACAAACTTCCAAGGTAAGAAGAAACCCTATATCAATTAATATGCTTCATGTAAAACTTGCTAATTTGTCTACACAGTAGAAATGGAAGGGGCAAAGTGCTTATTTACAGATACAGGGAAACCGATTCCCTGCCAGTTATGTAGTGAGACAGGAAAGCAGCAAGGTAGGAAAGTAACTGATAAGGGTTTTTGTAGCATTGACCAAGATGTTTTCCTAACTATACCAAAGTAGGATTGCATGTCACATGTACTACTTATTAAGTCTCACAAATGGATATGGCACAGGGTATAACTGTGATGTATCAGCAAATGAGTACCCAATCGAAATTCTACTCAGTTGCCTTTCTTGTGAAGGAGAGGGTAAGTTAAGAGGAATAATTAACTTCTTTATCTGCTCCACTTGAAAGGGTAAATACAAAAAGGTTTAGAATACGCTGAGCAAAAAAATCAACTTCACCAATGAATATAAGATAAAGTTTTTAAATAAACAAATGAAAAGCTATTTTTCCCTCCAAGTCTATAGGTCTTTGCTAGGTTTCTAGGCAGAAAGTGCCAATTCATGCCCAAAATGCATATAAAATTTTCAGTCTAATTTATACATGAATGCTTGCAGTAGTGTCCTAGAATGGCTTATTAAGCCAAAAGAATTGATTATGGTAATCTTTTCCTATTTCCACATTCAGTGATGTCAAGTTGGTAGCTTGAAATCAGCCATGGTAGGACTATTTACACCATAGAAAGTAGCAAGCATTACAAATAAGGGTTTTTCCCCCCACAGAGCTAGTTGTGAAACATTGACCAACAAACTACTGAATTCATGTGAGTGTTTCTTTGTGGCAATCAAGAAGTTCATTTAACACTGAAGTCATGGATCTAAGCCCTTGAGTTAGGAGTGGCACATAATAGTTATACAATACTGCCTCTATTGTAAAATATAATCGTTTAACTTCTCTTGTTTTAAGGCAATATTTTCAATATCATGGATGCTTTTTCCATTTGAGTGCTCACTGGGAAAGTCATGGCTGTAGCCGGTGCCCTCGCTGATTGTGGACACCGTGTAAGATGCGCTACGAAGAGCGTCGGAGTGGGAAAAACTCTTTCCAAATTGAACTTTATATTGATTCCAGTTTCTTCTCAGAACTGCTTGAACCTATCAATCCAAAAAAAGAAAAGAAAAGAAAAAAAGACAGGAGCAATACATTATTTAAAATAAAGACATTGTACAGTAAAATAAGTTATGTATTGTAAAAAATCTTTTAAAACAGATATTAATATTACTTAGTGAACAATATTACATTTTAAACTTAATTTAAAAATTAAATTGAATGAGTCATCTTTTTATTGCAATTACTCTATACTTTTAGTTTCCATTAATATTTTTCTTTCTATACCTTATTTTTGAAACTTTAATGTTGACTATAAATGAATTGTTGTAAAACAAATAATTAATCCAAACCCACTTATAAACATTTGTGTGCAACATTGAATTTTATATCAATATCTTTATAAGTAGAATGAGAAGATAAGTGAGAGTATAAAAGAACAGAGACAAGAGATAAAAGAAAAAGTAGAGGTATAGGCAGTAGAAACTAATGTCATCATCAGCATCATCAGCAGCAGCAGTAACAAACTTCTATTGAATCATTATCTTATGCCAGGTATTGTGTTACATTCTGGTGGAAAAAACAGAGCAGGGTTTTTGTCCTTAGGGAGCTTACTAACCAGATGGAACAAAGTATTGAACAGATGATTACAAATAAAATGAGTATTGAGAAAAACGATATAGGTCATAAATTGAGGTTTTTTTTATTGTTTTTTACATTGTATACCATTTTTTTAAAAAGATTTTATTTATTTATTTTTAGAGAGGGAAGGGAGGGAGAAAGAGAGAGAGAGAGAGAGAAAAATCAATGTGCGGTTGCTGGAGGTCATGGCCTGCAACCCAGGGATGCACCCTGACTGGGAATTGAACCTGCGACACTTGGATTCGCAGCCCACTCTCAATCCACTGAGCTACGCCAGCCAGGGCTTGAGTTTGATTTTAATTGAACATAACACACTACAGTAATCTTCTTTACACTGAGTCAGTGAGGGTAAATGAGAATATACAAATCCATCTCCAACTGGAAAAGCTGGGCATTTCCAGGTGTCTGATCAGTGAGGAGACTGGCGTGGTGGCCATCTATTTCTAGGTTAAAAGTCTATAAGCCACGTTCCCTTGGCCTGATCTTTGTCTTTCCAAAGCATGTATCTCTTTAAATTGTCTTGCTCAAGCTCTCAACTGCTCTTTGATCTTTTCATTACTTCCACGAGGAGAATCTGAGCATCTAAAGGCAAATCTCCAGAAATTTATGTACTATAAACATGCTAATGCAAGAATTGTTTTTTTACTAATTATATAAAATTCCTCAATTTTTACTCAGTCTATTTATGTGTATAAGTCAATATTAAATTTAAAATGGGGCTGGCTAATTTACATCTTTTCATTTTCTTGTTTAATAGATCAAAAAAACTGTATTCTCCTAATCACAATCTCTAGCCAATTGGTATTCCTGAGTTGTGAGCAACTCTGTGGGGATCTTCAAAGTCCTGCTAGAGTCCCCTAAACCCTGTCACTTAAAATCTCATTTCATGTTTGGACATGTAGAAAAACAGAAGAAACAAATATAGAATTAACAAGTTTCTTTAGCCAGAACTTAAAATGAGTTATTTCCAAGTAGCTTTTCTCTATTCTATAATTCACAAATTATGTAATGAGAAATACAATACATTGGTTTTAAAGGTTACATTGTGATTAAATTCAGAGCTTCAAGACTTTCAAGGTTATGTCTTTATTTTTACTACATATACTTGAAAAATAATTTTATGGTCATATAATTTTATTAAATAAAATCACTTATAAGACCATAAATATAAATATCATGCAAACAATTATACTTTGTTTCCCTTATGGTTTAATAATATATTTCTAAATTCTTCAAATAACATATTTAAATTAAGGTAATTTAAAAAATAATATTTACATATGTAATACCTTCAAGAACATAAGCAAATGACAATTGCAATGGCTTTAGAGTGTAACTTTTAAGTAAATATTCAGAGATTTAAAACAAAAGTGACTTTTTTAGCCAATTATCTAGATATTTCTAAGGGGAATGGTTTTTGGCCCATATTTTTACGCTAATCCATTTCCTTACACTTTGTTACTAAATCATGGACTGACTGAAGACGTACACTATATATTTATTGTGGTTGAAAGGAAGTAGAATGTACCCATGGACAAAATATTCTACATAAATGTTATGAAGAGGCTGACAAGAAGTAATAGCTGTGAATGTAGTACTTACAGTCTTAAAAAGGAAAGCTTAAACTCTAAAAGCCAAAATGGCTTTTGAAAAATGTTTGCTCTTGAGCTGCTTTGATTAAGATCATAACCCTGTTTCTTCCTTGCACTTAAATCATCAAGCAGCAACAGCCGCAGCAGCAACAACAAGCCATGGAAATCCAGTTTCCTGAAGGGTGGGGACTGACTGACTGAGGTTAAAAATGAGCCTAATTAAAACCTACAGGCCTTGTAGATATCAGCTTGTGTATGTCATTCTCTGTAATGATGTAATGTTTTCATTTGCTTCCTTTAATATAATATCACACCTGTTCAACAGAATTAAAGTGGCCACATTTAATGTCTTTTTAATGAGAAAAATTTAATAGTGGAAGATAAGGAAAGTTGCCATTGGAATGGAAAGTAGATAGCCTGGTGTTATTGAAGATCTTAAACTGTTTTTCACTATTTTACATGAGTGTTATATAAATAACAATGCCAACTGTTTGGAATATAACATTACAACTTTCTATACCCCTTAGCACCTGATAGGGAACCAAATGTATACTTCTAACCTCAATAAATTAAAAGATATTTAACAGGGATTCACTATAAAAATTTTACCTAGTTCTCATTATGGAATATGAACTCTGTTATTCTCAACAAAATTTTATTGACTTTATGACCATATTTAGTCTCACATGTTGTTAAATGTGCTCATTAGACCGGGAAGGGCACTTCTCATGACTAGAGTCCCTAGTTTACGCAGACAATGCATAGTTTTTTGTCTGAGTGGACTAGAGATGAGATGAATGTGGCCTGAACACTCGTCAAGGCACAGTTACTTAACCAGCAAGAATTACAAATAGAAATATTTTGCCTAAAAATAAAATAAGTAAAATGTGAGAATAAAACAAAAACACAGATACTAAACTAAAACAAGCTATCTGACCTAATGTGGAAAGCAAGAGGAAACTAAGCCTTAGCAAATGGTTTTAAGAAGTACATGACATACTTGGAATCACACAAAATGAATTTGGCAGCTGTGTTTTCATGTCATGAGAATGGGAAAAACTAAGAGACGATAAAGGCGGGGTTATAGTATTTCTCAAGATGAGAATGAATCATACATAAAAGGAATTATATCTTAAGAGACAAAGAGGAGATATTGGAGAAGTGAAGAACTGAAAGATTTGTCAACAACTTGGCTCCAAGATTTTGTATTATTATAATTTTCCACTGCCAAAATTTTCCCGACTTTAGGACATGGCAGAAGATCAAGGTTGCGTCTCTTTTGCTTCCAGAGTGCAGCAAGAGTGTTAGGCAGTAGTTTAGATATTCCCTGGGCACTTTTTTCTAAATTAAAGGGCCAATTTGAGATATGAACCCAATTAATATTACCATTTGTTCATGTATTTTTGAAAACGAGTGACTCAGCAAATCTTACAAGGAATCTATAATGTATTGAGTATCTTCTGAGGGTGGAACAATTTTTATATATTCCCAGCTTATTTGAATCCTCATGAGACTTGTGTGAGGAATTTTCTTTTATTTGATATCCATGAAAGTAGACACTGAAACGCCGGGAGGTTCAGAGTATTTATTGCCCAGAATATATCACATATGGGAACATAGAGAAATCCGTGGGGCTTAAATGCATTGCTGCAGCAGTGCTTTTATCCGACACTTCACATAGGAGGAGAGACACTTCCTCCTATTGCAAAGTATTTTCTTAGTGATTAAATTTTGTACCTTTATAATTTACCCTTTATAAAAATCAAATGTGTTTCTGCTGATGCAAAGGTATATCTTTCATATTTCACACAAGTTCTATATGTGTTGTCCACATCTCTATCATCTCGGTTTAACTGTAAAATCCTATACAGGCAGCAAGGAGAATTATCTAATGCAGTTTATTCAATAATAAGTTTATAGAGGTACATAATTTCTGTTAGAATTTTTATCAAAAATGATTTGTTTATTTTTCTTAATTGCATTTCTGTCTATACTTCTCATTGGCTTTAGGAAACAGTCATTCTGGTCCTCCAGAGAGCAGAAGAATCATGGAAGTACCACTTAAAGATACCAAACATAGTCTGCTGTCTGACAGTCCTACACCACGTTATCAGTAAATTAATATATAGCCTTGGCTGGTGTGGCTCAGTGGATTGATCGCTGGCCTGCAAACCAAGGGGTCACCAGTTCTATTCCCAGTCAGGGGATATATTTGGGTTGCAGGCCAGGTCCCCAGTATGGGGTGTGTGAAAGGCAACCACACATTGATGTTTCTCTCCCTTTCTTTCTCCCTCTCTAAAAATAAGTAAATAAAATATTTTAAGATAAATAAATAAATATATAAAATAAATAACTATATTAAAATTAAATATACTTTAATTTAAATGTAAAAATTAAATGAAGTTGTATTACATGTTAAGAGAAAGAAGTAAAATATTACGTAAGCAGAGGAAAGCAATATTTAATAGTTTTTCATATGTACATGATTTCCATTATTGACTTGTTTTAAAGAAATGGTTCTTATAAAGTTACGCTAACTTTATATGTGTTTTCCATCCAAAGCTTTGTGATAAGCTTTGCAGTTTACCAGTCTCACTCAGTTGCTGACTGGATTTCTAAACTTTGTTGAAATTTGCCAAAATCCTCCAACAGTTTAAAATTTTTCAAGTGGATTAAATACATATAGAACTAAATCAATATAGTTCAAATTACTGAGCTATAACTGTTCATATGCCTAAGAAATATAGTACTACCAGTTTTTAAAATCCCTAAAAATTTTCAGTTAGGAAATACTTGCTGAAAAATTTCGAAATATCCAAGACAATTTCCCATGTTACAAATTAGGGCATGCTAATTCTCTTAAATTTTCTAACCTACTGCATGTCTTTCTAATAAAACAGAGAGTTTAATTTTTAAAAGTCCTTTGTATCTATTGCCAAAGACCAGATCATGGGCCAACCAAGAAGAATTAAAAAGAAACAGAGAACAGGAAAATAAAAATGGGCCAATTCATTTTTCTATTAGAGGACATGCAGGTCGTACGAGGTTAAGGATTTCCTAGGAGTGCACACAGGTCAAAGTTCAGACTTAACAGTTTAAAAAGTAGGTCAAAAGACTAGATAGATAAAAGTCACTGATGAAATATTTTAAAGTGAGACTGAATTTGTCCTAGTCTTGAACTCCAAAATATCCCAAACTTTTGGAAAGGAGAGTTGCATCTATGAAAAGAGATTCTATGTCCTGATACAAACAAAATTTGAAATAGCTGCTCCTAGAGAATTCATAGTTCTCATTTTTTAAAGAAAAAACCCATATTGTTAATATAAAATAACAGAAGGAATAACAACAGTCACCATACCTCTCCATTAAAGAAGCAGAAAATTGTAGAGACCAAAAGACCCTGTTTTAAAAAAAAAAAGAGAATAATGTGATTCCAAATCAGAAAAGATACAGTACATTATTTGTAACCAGTTCACAGCATATGCAGTCAAAAGTAAAACTATGTGGAATTTTAATGCCAAATTTCTCACTGCCTTCTGGATATAAGAACACCATCACCATACCTGATAGTGCACAAGAATGTGCATGATGTAGTCATATACCTCCTCTGCAACCCTGCCTTCAGGTCGCCATGGAAATAGCACAAATTCAATGCCCAGCAATGGCACTAGGATCAGAGTAGCTCTCACAGCTTTCATGTACAGATTGGATTCCGCTTGGTGAGTAACTTTTAACTTAGTGATGAGAACACGTACAATATTTAATAGAAAAAAAAGATTCACCTAGAAGAAAATAAAATGGCATAAGAAAAGTATTTCATATTAATATTAATATTAAAGAAGCATTAGTGAAGGCTATTTGATTTTAAAAACCTTAGAATATGTTCAATTTATAAGAATGTGATATAATTGTATACTTCTGGAATTGTGATTTATTAATTTAACAAGTACACTGATTCTAATGGACTTAGCTTTTAGAAAAGTAAAATTATGGTAGAATTATTGTGAAACACATTCAGTTGGGGGATATCTAAGTGTTTTCCTTAGCTCATTTTCTTATGCACTTTTTTTTAATTTAGCTCAGGTTCAAAAATAAAACTTTTAAATATTCTCATCTCGAAAAAAGGAAAGATTTTTTTAACAAATTTTAATTTTTAAGTGTTTGCTCTGTATCAGTCCATATTAGGTACTTTCCTAATATATGTTATACCATAATAATCGTTTTCATATTTTTGGTTTATTCTTTCCCTGTGTGTGTTTTTTGTAACATCTTCAAAACTCCTCCAAGATATTGCCAGAATAACTCTTTATCCATAAGGTAGGCTGAATCACACACTAGAACTAGTTGATATTCAACCTTCCTCATTCTAGAGATAAAAATTTGGTACCCTGCAGGGCCTACATTATGTTAATTACTTTCTATAATTACATATTGACTGTGTGTTAATGACTTTCCCCAAGAGAAAAAATTATCTTTGTAAGGGAGACATAAAACTTCAAAAATATAGTGTGGGCACCTAAGTTACTCAGAAAATGGACAGAGTTTTGCTGGAATATCCATCCCTCCCATGAATATTACATTCTGCCTTTCCTATATTGAGCCAAACCAGCATTGTTTACTTTTGTCTATTTTCTCTGTGCCCATTCCTGATGATTATGGACATTAACTCTAGAACAGCCCCTTCCTGCACTATTATGCCATTGCCTTTCCCTGTTCTCTCACCCAGACTTGTGTCTGTGCTTGTTCTAATAATCCAAAACATTTAAATTATATGCTGATATATAATGTATATCCACATACTTTAATAAATTGGAAAACAAGGGCAGCACCTTATTTAATGGAGAAAACAATGTACAAGTAACAGACGTTTGCTGATTTAAGGCATGGGCTATGAAAACAACTGGGCGTAAAAATATCCTACTGCTATTCTTAGAGAATTCCTTGGAACATATGCCTCAAAAAATATAGCTCGTTATAATCCTGATGGAAACACATCCACAAAAAGTAACATGGTTATAGACACAAGAATGTCTCTGCTGGAGACGAAAGCAGAATAAGCCGTTTCAACAGCTGTAAGAACAACCTGACAAATCAACACCTCAGCTGCTGTTCCAGCCACACCACTAGTTCTCTTCCTAAGCATTCATTGCTCTTTTAAAAGTTTTGACTAAATAGAAATCACTACCATACCATAGAAAAATAATTTTCTATGCCACAAGAGATAATAATTCTCTTACAAGAGAATAATAATTCTCTTGTATCTGCTTATGAATTTAGAATATAAGTATTGTATAATCATCACATACAAAAATCATAAATTATAAAAATCTATAGAAATGCTGCAGTTTAGATGCCCATCGCATAAACATTTCTAAATGCAAAGTGCTTCTCCAAAATGGCAAGTCTGGTGTAAAGTATGAAACTAGAAACTAGAAAGTCATCCTACTTTATTTTCTGCAAACATTTCCATTTAGTTTAAATAAAAGCTAGAAGAGTAATTTTAAATTTCAGATGAACTGTACCTGAATCTCATCTGTCTTTGAGCAAAACTAATGAAGCGAAGTGAGCTGTGTTACTACACCACTCACAAAGTTCACATATCTAGTGGACACCACAGGCCGTTTTCAATCACAATACTGCCCAAGGTCACCATGGGAGGCAAGATGAATCAGGTCAGTGGTGGTGGGAGGATTCTCAGGAGCCATTGCTGTGCTAGAACAGCTAGCAATCACTTAACTATGCACTGATGTGGCCTAAATATCTCCCACTAAACCCAAATTAAATGTATCTCCTCAAACTTCCCCTTAGTAGAATCTCGAAAATGCTGTAGCCATAGCCACTCCAATATCCTCCTGCTCAAGAGGAAATTGTGACAGAGGAAGTCTGAGTGGAAAGAAACTGATTGTGGTTGAAATCTTATTTATAAAAATTATATAAAAATATGTGATTATATAAACAATTGCTAGAGCCCCTCCCTGGACCTTGGAATTGACTGGGACCAGTGAGGGGCCCTGGAGCTTAAATAAGAACAGAACAATTTATCCTGGCAGAAAAATAGACTCCCAATCTTTTTTTAGGCCAAGAAGATGAAAAAAGTTTTATGCAAATAATATGGATTTTCACTTCCTTTTTACTGTGCAACTTGGGCTATACTCCTATGTGATATTTTACCTTAGTGACACTATCTACACTTTCCTCTCAAAGTTGATGTAGACAGGTTTTCCCCAAATTGTGTTACTTGCTGTTAACATTTTTAATTTGTCAGATGCTTTTACTTTGTCCTGATGCTCTCTCATTTAGGCATTGAATCACACTCTGAAGAGTCAGCTCTCTTATAGTACAATTTTTCTTTATATTTGCTCTGTGAGTTCCTGGGTGGCCTAAACAATGTATCTCAATTTTGGGGGGCTCTTGTCAGAAAAGAATCATGCTATCATGTAGAAATGAGAAGTCAAGAAACTTTTAAAAGAATTTTTTGAGGTGTGTTACATTCTACATACTGTGTCAATTGCTTAATAGGGCAAATTTAATTTTTACAGCATCCTATGAGATATTTATTCTTATTATTCCATAACCACAGATGAGAAACAGTGACTGAGAGGTCAAAAATAAAACCAGCCTGGGATCCACATCAGCAGTGGTTAAATGAAGTTTCAGTGCTAGGTCTTCTGAGTACAAAGAATACACAGCTAGGACATTTCAGGCTACAGCTTAGACACAGTGTGTCACACATGTCCCTAAGATGTGCAGGGAGAAAGAAAAGCAAAAAACCTTCTGCCTCTGAAATTTTCACTGGATTCTACACTAAGGCATACTAAAATTTCCATGAGACATAATGAATTCCATATGTTGATTTTTTGAACTGGTTTTTTTGTGTGGCTAGGCAAAAACCAGACATTTGACAAATGCTACATGTTTTATACATGCCAGGCTATGCACTTTTTATGTATTAACTCATTTAATCCCTTATTTAAAAAATTGAGTCACTATTATTACACTATCTTACAAATGAGGGACCTGAGGCAAATAGTGATTAGTTTAATGGCTTAAGGTCACACAGCAAGTAAGAGAAGGAAGAAGAATTTAAACCTAGGCAATCAGCCTCCAGAATTTACCACCTTAGTTATGATTCCATTTTTGAGATGGCTTAACATTGACACATTAGAGAATGGCTTGACCTGTGTTCACACATAACCATATACCAAATTGCAGCTAACAAACATAGTAAAATAATAGAAGAATACTTGTCTAAAAAAAGAATCTGAAAACAAGGGTTAGGGCACTCTGGATGTTAGCTGGGACTCCTATCACCTTTGTCGTTTTATATATAATCAAATGTCAGCTGTAATTACACTCATAGACTATAATTACATGCTGTTCTTTAATGCATTATGAGAGAAAGAATATTATTTTGGATTTATTTCCCCAATGAAACAACATAATAAAAGCTTTGAATGTGAATTCTGTTTCTTTGCAACAACACATAAAATGTGCAGTGCCCTTGCAGTAAGTGATGATCATTACAATAATAAAACAACAGTTTAGACAATACTCTCTTTTTTCCAATTAAAGTCTTTTCTTTATTGGAATATTACTCTTGTTACTGACATGGCTGTGTAGGTTTTCCTTGTTTGCCATCCCAACTTCGTGGATCCACCCTCTGCCCTTCTCCATTGTGCTCTGTGCCCGGGAGGCCCTGAGGTTCCTCTGATAGCTGCCACCACCCCGGCTTTCTTACCCTCTGACATTTGCTGCATTTGGCCAGTGGGAGGAACCAAGAAACCAGAGCATGGCAAGAGAGGAGTGTGAGTATTTCTTCCCCTCCTCTTTCCAGTGTCTGTGTTCCTCTCCCCAAGACCAGAGCTCCTGTGGGGCGACTGCTCTCAGAACATGTTCATATCTCATAATTGCGCTATCCCTTCTGCTGGCCTCTTGTGGTGACAGCTCCCACTCTTGGCCCCTGGTGTCGCACCACCCATTCAGATTTAGTCCTTTATTCTTCCTGCCAACACCTTAATATAATGTAACATAATATAATGTAATGTAATGTAATGCAATGTAATGCAATGTAATGTAATGTAAAACACCTTCATCAAACCCTTTTCAGTTGAACACTGTGAGCATGTTGTCTGTGTTCACTGGGAACCTGAAGGATACCATAGGCCAGATGACTCAGGAAATGAAGTTGAAATATGAACAATAATGAAAAAAGGAGAATTTTAATTACATACCAGGAAAGCAGCACAAATTGGGCCGTGGATAATGTAGAGAAGATGAGTATCAGAACTGATCCAGCAGCTAGTGGGGAAAACAGAGAAATCTTGTTGAGGATTTTTGTTTTCCTTAGGTCCAATAGAAATCAGACAGAGATATTATCTTACTTGTCATTGTAATATAAGCTTCTGGCTACGGCATGTATACAAGCAGGAATCAGTGGAAATCCTGTAAATATCAAAGAAAAAGAAAATGCATAGGTGATCGCTACAGATGGAACTCCTGAAATATGTTACATAATGTGAAAATTCAGAGATACTCTAGAAACAAAAATAACTGGTCCTTATGCTTACTGAGTAAATAGTATCTGTATAGTCAAGCAGTAAGTGTGGTAAAATATTCGCTATTTTTATTTTCAGGTTTGTGTGTGTGCGTTTTCAAAATAAGCCATTTTGAATCAGTGGACTTCGGAGGCTAAGTCTATGCATGTGCTGCCTGAGCCCTAAGGCTTGGAAGAAATCCAGCATTCATGTGTTTTCTGTAAGATGGGATTGCCCATATTTGGTAGATGGTCACATGCGGAAAAACATTGAGACTGACTGACTATATAAAGAAAAGTGAAAGAAGGGAGAGATGTTTTATGTATCAGAAATTTTGCATGTTTTGAACATTCTAAATCAGATCTTTCAAATACATGTTTTATAAACATAACTTGAATGTACCAAAGACTGCATGTGTGCATATATAATTGTATATGCATGTATCTATGTCTATTGTCTGACAGGTCAGGTAGATAGGTGTGTAGGTAGGTAGGTAGATAGATAAAGTATAATTTCAGTTGTGTTTCTGGAAACTAGTCCTATTGAATTTATTTTCAGGGTTTTGTATTTTGCATTATTCCTGTTTTATTTAAATGTTAAAAGTGTATATCATTGTTTGTTTTGTGAATAACAATATGTCAGGAGATTTTGTGGAAAAATAGGTATGTTTCGTGCTTTCATTCAATAACTCTTCCTTACACTTTTTGATAAATGACAATGTTTTTTATTTTTTTAACAAACATTTTTAAAATGGAAAGTCAAAGCTGGCTAAACCCAATGCTCTCATTTTACACATGAGGGAAAAGGAGATTCAGAACAGTACAGAGACTGGATCCTAATTCATAATTCTAATTCCATTGTTTTAGTCATGTAGTTAGCCAAGATACACATTGAAACATTAAATAGAAAAAAATTTATTAGTAATTGACTTGTGACTACTGAAAACAATGAATCAGTGGCATTTTATTTAAATTTATAGCAGTAGGCAAAGGTTATTCACCTGAAATTATTCAAAATGATTAATAATATAACATATTAATAATAAGTTTTTATTGTTTTATTACAAAGGAACTCTGCATCCTCTAAAAGATTTCTTAATAAGGTGAATTAGCACATATGTGTAATGAGACTTACCCCAGCCAAGAAAATAATACCACATTAAGTGTTGCTTCTCTACAAACACAGCCACCACAATGAGTGTGTGTAAGTAAACACCTTCACAGAGCATCCAAAAGTAGTTACATCCCATCAAGTAAAGATGCATGAATTGGAACACTTTGCAACCAACCTGTAAGAAGAAAAATGGAAAGCAATCAATATTCAGTTCTTTATCAGTTCACATATAAAGTGAAAATCTAGTTTAGTTCAGTTTTACAAAAGCATGGGATTTTCTTTCCTCTACACAAAATCTTACACACAAATGATTCAGCTTTGTAAAATGCCTGTCTTCATTCTGATCTAATGGTACCTCTAAAGTCTTAGCCATTGACTCCAAAGATTTCTAATGGTGGACTGAGAAGGAAATGTGTATATTCCAAATCTACTACATTTTGTGGATGTATTTTTCCCAATGTGTTTTAGTTATCATGTAATTTTAAGTGTAAAATTTTCATACACAGATAACTATATACACGTTTATTTACATTTATTTTAATTATATCTTTATGAACTCCTTCATTGTTGCATTCTATTGAAAAAATCTGAATAATATATTAATAATTATAAAGGCAATTCATGAAAAGGGCCAAATATTTGGAAAGTCTTGCATATTACATGCTACCAGTGCAAATACTTATTAAATAATAATATAATGAGCCTATACTTTATCTTATCCAAATAGAGGGTTTGAGGGTTTCATGTAGGTAAAAAGAAGAAAAAGTGCTAGTGTTACTTCCTCTTTCCGTTCTCCGTTCCCGTTTCCTCTTGTCTACTCTTACAGAGATAGGAAGAGGGAGATCCAAATGTAGGGTAAGGGAAACACAAGGAGTAGGAGATAGAGTATACTCTCTCAACAAGGGACCTAAATGAAAGCTCTCCCAGAAATACATGGCCAATACTTCCATTCACTCCAATATCCAATCTGGTACTCTAAATATTTAGTGGCAATTATCACTATTTTTAAAGTAAATGTTTGTTTTTTCACTAAAAAGAAAACTGGAAATGAAATGCACTAGGAAATAAATGTTGCATTATCAAGGAACAGTAATAATCAAATTTGTATATGAGTTAGTTAAAAAGTATTTTAATATATCTCTTTTAATTAATCCTTAAATTAATTCTGAGGCATTAATTATTATTAATCAACCATTTCATAGATAAACACTATATTAAAAAGAATAATGACTTGCTAATATTCATACACTTCAATTTAAAACCACACCCTAAACACAAGTTTTATAATTCAACTTTGTTTTCATGATTATACATAATGCCTTCTGATTAAAGGACATTTATAAAACCTATTTTCTCATTAACTATATTTTCAGATTGCATGACATTAAATTTTAAATAACATACTTCATGTCAAACATAACACTATAAGTAAACTTGCATTATATTATAGAGAAATGATAGACTTTAGCTTCAAATTATCTATATAGTTTTTAGATATTCATATTTAATTTATTATTTAATTCCTAATTCCATTTGTAGAGTTAACCCATAAATTCTAGATAAAAAGATAAAAACAACTTAAAACATGCTTCAGCAAAATATTTTTGTGCTGGGTATTGATCATAAATGCAGACAATAAATTTTCCATGATATATTAAAACTAAGTATATATAGTTTGTAATTTATGAGCTTGTATATAAATATAAGATTTAAAATCTCTTGCTCTGCAGCTTCATCACAGAACTTTGAATATCCTTGCTCTAGAGAAATTCACTCTAAAATGACAGAACATTGGCTGTTTTTTTTTTATATTGTTAATTATAGCCCAGCATGTTTCCTCACCCGGTGACTTTGGAGTGGAAGATATAAAAAATTAAGCAATCCGGATGCACATGTGCAAACAATGCAGGGAATTTTAGAATTTTGGAAATTACCCTAAAAACACATATAAAACACATATGGGAGTATTGTTTATTGACCCATTGAGTGAAAATTCCTTCCCTTCCCTGATTTTAGTAACTAGATAACTTAACCTCTGAAAAAACACTGTATATATACATATATACACACCCTTCCACAAATCCATATAATATTATAGTACAGATATTTATGAACTTTATGAAAATATTATTTTGAAAACTTAAATATATTTGTTATTTATGCAGATATTTTACTTTAAATATAGCTTACATAGACATGCAGCTTATAAAAATATATACATTTGTATAGGGAAATTTTAGCTTCTTTTAAATATATACTTTTATATTATGATAGTCTCTGTGCTTATTTTTGTGTATTTTTTGATAACCACCCTAAAATTTCATGCTTCCAAAGAAATTGTAAGGAAAAAGATTATAAATGCTGAGACATGAAGACTTGCTATAGTCCTTTAAAAAATTTATGATAAAAAAGTTTAACAATTATATAGGGGATGTGTAATTCATTTTTCTCTGGTTTTGTTAACTTTTTAAAGTCAGACAGATACCCAAAATATAATTTCAATTTTCCATTTTCATGTATTGTTTTTTCTAACTACATAGTTGATTTTTTAAAAATTTGATTAATTGTTATATAAACTCTTATGTCCTACCAGTAACAGGACTCTATCCATAAATTGAGGTGAAAATATGCAAAACATATATAAATAATTGAAGCAAAACAGTATTCTTGCTTTTAATATTCAAATATTGTAACTTGAGGAATATTGAGATATATTTACCTTTCTAGATTGAATATAGCTACATACATTCTCTGCATGAAAGACCTTGAAATATACATGAGTACTAAATGACTTAATTACATACATAATATTTACATCAGGACCTCTCCCCTCTCCCCTATCTTTCTAGCTAACCTTTTGAACCTAAGGACACACCTCGTTTTACTTACAGGATTTGTGGCTACTAAGGCCTGGTTGTTAGCCACAGCAGTGAATTGAATTATTGTTACAATAGAGTTACAAACGAAGGAGAAGAACAGGTTTTTGTGTAAAGTAATTCGTTGGCAACTTAGGCTCCTAAAAGACAAGAGATAACAAAGTATAATACAACATAATTCTACATTTTTAATGAATAATCATTCAAACAAGATACATTCATACCTCATAAAAGAGCTGCTCCAAATTTGGAAGATTTTTTCTCCAAGAGTCACTCATAATAAAATCTCAATTTTTTTAAAACACAGAGAAAATGAGGTAGTTTAGGAGAGTAGGCATACATAACACATACATAAAGACAGGAAATTTGTCTGTACAAGGCCTCCACATAAACTTTTGTTAATCTCTCAAATGATTAATATTTTAATTCATTTTGAAAATTCAGAAAGTGGGACTCTGTAAAGTTGATGCAAAATGCAGCTACTTAATTTTGAAAACTTTAGATTTGTGTGTCAGATTCCTACACAGATAATGCTGTTTTTATTATACCACAGAGGTTGTTCTGTTTACATAGCAGCCACCATTAAATGAGTCTTTAGAATAGTCCAAGCACAGAAATAAGACTTTATATCTCAATTAACAACCCCTTTGAAGTATCATTATCCTTTAATAAAATTGAGGTAATTTGATCAAGGTTACAATCTTATTAAGTGATCCATTGAATTTGAATGTTCAAGTTATTAAGAAAGTAATAAGGCTTTTCTTTTTTTATTTTTATTCTTTAATTATCTTACCATTGTTCAATTATAGTTGTCTGCATTTACCCACCACCACTCCCCTGCACCCCAGCCATCCCCACCTCCCTCCCTCACTTCTTTTAATATTTATTTAGTCACTTGTAACTATGTATTCATGAATAAGTAATACTATATTATGCACTGTGTCTAGATGATGGGGAAAACAGTTGTGAATAATACAGAGCAAGACCCAAATCTTATGTTATTCATGTGACATGAAGGATAAGTAGACATGTCGATCACATGAAGTAATTCCAGATAATGTTATACACTTTTTATAAATTAAAATAGGATTAGGAAATAGACGAAGACTGTGGCCAGAGTATAAGGGGCACAGATCTGAAACAGAAGATAGGGGAGAAAAATCATTCTAGCCAGAGAAGGCATCCTGACTCAAAGTTTTTTTTTCTTTTTAGCTAATGTTAAAGCTTAAAGTTTATGAGGGGCAAGAAGGACAGACAACGTTAACAGAGCACAAAGCAAAACTCCACATTGTTGTTTTCCATTCTAATATGAAGAAACTTCAATTTAAAGAGCATAATTTACTGAATGACTTTTTGATTCTGAAGCATATAATCTTTTGTGTTAGCTCTTAATGTTCCACCAACAAATGTTAAAAGCACAATATCCAGTCATTCTTGGCTTTTGTTTTTCCAAGTTAGTAAAAAGATGGTACAGTTTGCAGTGTTTACTGAGATAGTCATATCTGTAGATACAATGTTGGAAAATAAACTGTTTATCAGAGTGGAAAACCAAATTGCAAAATATATTATGACTTTGAGGAGAAAAATGCTATATTACTTATGTCTTGAATCTCATTTTACAAAGTTTTAATCCACTCAAATGAGGACATAGTTTTTACCCCAAACAATGGATCATTAGTTACTTTGAAACAATTTGTCATTTCATTCTCAGTAAAATTTAGTTATGCTTAAGTAGCACTTATGTTTCAACTGTTCAAGCAAAACAGATAAAATACACTTATAAAGAAGAAAATTTCAACAGAAATATGTAATCTTTAATGTTAACTTATAGTTTTTAATAACAAAATTACGGTTTAAAATAAGTCCAAATTTAAGCTTTACTTCATATTTTCATTCCTGGGACTCTTCTAACATAAACCAGTAATAGCTATTGCATTATAGCAGAACTGGCTTTTGTTAAGAGTATATCGGTTACTTCTTGCTTCACTCTGCCATTATTCAAATCTTATACTTTAATGTGGAAATGCAATGCTTTTATTATATAATTGCAGTGGATATATTTAAAATCAAGTGGACATATTTAAAACATATTTAAAATCCAACCAAGATTTGCATTGCTGAATAGAAATATTTTCAGCTCTCACCACATTCAGTTTGAAGATGATAAATTTTTTGGCACATTGATTAAAATTCATAAACTTGGAAATAGACCTAATAAGTATAATCTAATAAAATATTATATTAAAAACATAGTTAATTAAATACTATACAAGTTAAGCTGGAGGAAGCCATACAAGAGAATAAGACCTATCTCAGCAGCACAGTGCATATAAACTTACAATGAATGAAATGCACCACAAAAGCTGAGAAAGCAAGGGTGATCAGGGAAGGCATTGACATGGACCGACTAGAAGACTCTTTCTGAACTCAGCCATTATCAAACCTTTGACAGTGTCAATACCCTGCATTGAGAAAAGAAATCTTAAGTAAAAGTTTTGATTTGCCAAAACAGGCACATCAGGGTGTGATTTATAGAGTAAGACTCTTTGTTCTCTATGTTTCAGTGGAGAATTTCTTTAAATAGTTTGCTTTGTTTAAAATGGATTTAAAGATGGGATCATGTACAGTTTTCAGAAGAAAAATTATAGTTTAAAAAAACTGTAATTGTTCTAATTCAAATGAGATAAAAGTTTCCAGTATTGATTGAATGTGTTCAGATATCATCTAAGAGAAAACATGAGAATTTGACTCATTTGTCCCAAAAAACAAAAATATAAACATTGAAGATTATTTTATTAAATTAAGAGTGCTTTGGCCTGCCAACTGAATAGTTTGTGTGTGTGTGTGTGTGTGTGTGTGTTTGCTGAATTTTATTTTGGACCTTTTCTCAACTACTAGAAATGATATCATTTTCTATATACTTGTAAATATGAAACTTGGCTTTAAAATTGGAATAAGTGTCTGAAATGTCAGCAAAATTAAGATGTTAGAAGAATCACTTTTTCCTCATACAAGTCAGATGTTATATGCACTCTTATGTGCAAGAAGATAGAGCCTTTTGGGTTGAAAGAAAAAGCAGGATTTGGTATGCTCTCAGATTCTAAACAGCAATTAAAATATAATTTATGACTAATTCCAGTAAAGTTTATTTATTTTTTTATCTAAAAGGTTCTGTTTTGCTTTTCCAAGGGATCATTATGAGCTAGAGTCATTGCTTTTCAGAGCTTGGCAAATCCCCAAGTTCTGTCTCTTCCTCTCCACCCCCCCTTCCCCTTTCTTTTTATCTCCCGCTCTCTTTCCTTTAATTGGCTCTAATATAAATCTGAAGTATATCTGATAGTGTTTCATGTTCTCTGTTTCTAATTTAAAGCATGGATGAGTAGTATACTTTTCTTTCTCTAAATAAAAAAATAAACTATATCTTAAGTCAATTTTTGTGTGGTTCTTAGCTTTTATGAGGATCGATCAATGACCTTCAATTAGTAAATGGAAAAATATTCCATCTCTACCAAAGACTAAGCCAGAATGAGTGCAGTATGAAGAACTGGGTTAAGAGGCAGAAAGGAGCTATTGATAGATTTTTTTTATGCACGATGATTTTATGTGAAACATTAGCTCCTCTAGGAATTAGTTGGAAAAAGCTGATATTTCTATTGCTCTTGACAATATAAACATGCTCTGCCAACCATTCGGTTCAGCATTTTCTGAGGTGGCCTTGGTCTTCCTTCAGTCTAGCTGCACTGTCCAAAATTGTTTCACACAGATGCTTCTACTGATTAGCATTTTAAGGAACCTTAGTCTGATGATGGAGACAACAAATGCCAGATAAATCCAAGGGACTTGTCCAAGGCTGTGGAGACGTCATGGGAAAATCTGCACTTCAAATACACTCCCAAGTCAGTTCATGTCTTCATTTCAAAAATAATTTATTAAGTGCCTTATATGTGCAAAATCCTGTGCTGAGCCCTGGGATGTGTAAAGAAACAAAATAGAGATGATCCCTGCTCATATAACTATAACTTTGGGACATTCTTTCCATTATTTCCCATTTTAGTGGATAGTTGTTTTTAGTAGATAGTGGCTTTTGTTACTTTAGTAGTATGGGGAAGTGTATATTAGAAGCGTGTTAAAATCAAAGACTCTGAATTCTTTAATATAATTCAAGTACTGAGTAAACTACATGGTATCTTGTAGGCATAAAACAGTTTTACTATTTTTGACTAGCTTACTTAGCACATTTTTTCTTTTTTTTAAAGATTTTATTTATTTACCTTTAGACAGAGGAGAAGGGAGGGACAGAGAGAGGGAGAGAAACATCAAAGTGTGGTTGCCTCTCACATGACCCCAATAGGGGACCTGGCCCACAACCCAGGCACCCTAGATGGGGAATTGAACCGGCATTTCTTTCTGATATAATTATACTACTAATTTGGTTTATAAAACTTTTTATTCATTATTTACTTATTTTACTACATGAACATTATAACAATCTCTTTATAAATATGGTAGCTATAGAACTAGAAATGTGTTTTTAATTTTTTAAAAGTCTACTAGTATACTATGTCTATCGGGGCTAAATATTTATATAAAAATATTTTAATGGACCAGTAAGAAAGAGTGGTAACTATGCCAATAATTGACAGTGTTTTCTAAATTCTGCTTAAGTCTGCATATATATCTTAACCTTTATACCAAATCTATGATATAGATACTAATAGTATCTGAACTTTGAAGATGTGGATATTGAGGATTAAGCAACAAAAGAATTTGTTCCAGGCTACTCAGCAAGTAAGTTACAAAGTGAGAGCAGGTGTGTCTGTTTAGAGAATGTGCTCTTAACCACTCTCCTATAATGAAGGATGTCTAGACATATAAAAAGTAGTTAATGCTATACTTGAGTCTTGAAGAGGGTTTCTCATGCTTTACCTAAAACCTGAGAATGTATAATAAGAAAGAAAAAATAAATTGTAGCTTTGCTTTCTTTCTGTTCAAATCCTTCATTTTTAAAAGACAATTAAATTCCAATAAAATTACTAAACAGAATAGAGAGGATACAGATTGGGAAGAACCCTGCATAACTCAATTAGCTATTTAAAACATAGGTAAAATCAGGCATTGGAGTGGATAATCTTTTCCTTTC